AAAAAAAAAAAAAAAAAAAAGAAAAGAAACCTTTGAACAACAGCCTGTGTGAAATGACATAGGGAGGTCAAGCCACTACTACAGCAAAAACAGGGTATATCTGCCTTCCAGACCCAAGTGACACTTGCTCTTGAATCATCTACTGTCTGGAATTCTCCACTGCTTTACCCCAAGAGGGGTGTGTGTGTGTGTGTGTGTGTGTAATAAAAAATTATTCTGGCTTTTGTTAAAACAGCAGGGCAGACTTTATTTAAAACTGTCATAGTGGGTGTAGGCACTACTACAATGGAGTGTTGCAGTAGGTTGCAGTAGAGGAAAGATATTGGGTTTGACTCTGAATACAACAAAGACAAGTGGGAATTTATAGCCAAGGAGCAGTGGAGTTGGGGGTGGGTGTGTCAGTGAATGGCAAATGACTAAGAAAAACCATCAGACATAACAGGGAATCCTGCCTAAACCTGCCTAACAGGATTCTTGCTGAAGGCAGGCCAGGGTGATCAGATATCACCTGGGGGATGATGAGGGATGAGAGAATTTGATCAGATATAGAGGGGTGATTAGATATCAAGGGTGGGGGGATTTTCGTTAAATTGACTTAGCAGGATCCTTGCTAAAACTGGGCTCTTGAGAACATGCCCAAGGGTGGGGCCTAGTTGAAAAAGAGCTCAACAGAGCCTGATTAGAGTTTGGCCAAGAAGAGAATCTTTGTCAGTGTGCATGTGCATGCATGTGTGTGTGTGCCTGTGTGTGTGTGTGTGTTCATTTGCAAGACATGCACATTGCTGAAGTAAATGCTCATTAATTTTTCTCTGAGTAAACATTGAAGGAACCAAAATTTAGCCTAAGTCATAGAAAAAAAGCTTAGATGTCAAGGTGACAATATGCCAGGAGAGGTTAAAAGAGGCCTGGCTGCAAGGCAGACCACTGGGCACAAACAGGAAAATGGATGATGTCATTATGCTTCAGCATGTCATTAATACCTCAATGATGGAACTTCACAGTTTGCTTATGGACAATCTGTTACTTTTCTCTCTCTTTTTTTCTCAGGTCAGTGGCATTTTGTATATCCCCCATAGCTGTGTTACTGTGAACTTCTAATAAACACTGGGTCTGGAAAGCCTGGTGTCTGTGTCTTGACGAGCTTTCTCCAGCAGAACCTTTCTATATGGGCGTCTGCATGCAGTGGACTGGTTAACCCCAGTATGCTCTGGAGAGACCTGGTGTCAACTGTGTCTGCCCCAACTCTCCAAAAGCCTTGGCCTTTAAAGATGGAAAGAGCCCAGAAGAATCACAGGGGCAGGATCTTTCCAGCTAGGCAGCCTCATTCCCAGCCGTGTGACCCTGACAGTTCACTACCTATCCCAGAGCATCATTCATATTAAATGAGATAATGCACGCAAATTGCCTTGCACTATGTCTGGCACAGATACGTTCCATCAGGAGAAACTAGCTTATTTTATTTTAACACAGTATTTCACTTTACCCCATTGAATGGGTCAGGTCATTAAGTGCCTTTTGCAGGTACAGACACCTTTCAA